ATGCGATGAAAAAGATTTGGAGGACATGGCTCATCAATGCTGAATTCTCCTAGCCATTTCGCCAGTGTAATCTACCACATTCAGAGCTCTGTAATCGTATTCTGCTCATGTATCTGACACTGTAGGGTTGAATTATTTTCCAGAAAAATGTGTCCAAGGTGGGATTCAACCCCGAGTTGTGGCTGTCGGTAGTCGACGGTCGGTCCCACTCGTCCATCGACCCCCGATCGCAGGTTCAGATGAAGGGACTTTTTAACAATAAAATACCTTCGATTAGATGGCAGAGAAAGGTTCAGGACGACATTCAATTGTCAACTGCTGGGGACAATCAATAGACTCCGTGTCTGACCTCAATCACCCGGTGTGCCCAGCCGTGTGCCCACCCAGATCGAGCACTTGCCCGCCCAGAACATGCTGACGTCCAGCGTCGTGCTCCGCGTGCTGTACAGAGGGACGCCGACCAACACCATCGCAGTGGGAGATCTCCTCACCTTCCGCCTGGAGGCCCGCAACAGCTGTGAGCGGGAAATCTTTTATAAATTCTTACTGTGCATAAAATATGTGATTGGAAATTACTTTGTTGAGAGTACACTCACGGACAAAACTTAAAGAATTTTTACCTTTTAGCATGTATATCGGGATTCAGAATTCTGAAAGATACTCTGAAGGATATTTGACACACAGTGATCTTTAGAACTATGTTAGACAAATTTTACCGCAAATGTTTCTTTTTTTTAACGAAAAATCGTAATTTATTTTAAAGAGAAATAACGATTATTTCTAACCTTAGGAATGAGGTATGAAAGGATGAATTGTGAAAAGTAATGATGAACGGAAAAATAAAAGTGTCCAGGGATGGGAATCATCATTCATCATTACTCTTCACAATTCATCCTTTCATGCTTCATCCCTAAGGTTAGAAATAATCGTTATTTTTCCTTAAAATAAATTACGATTTTTAGTTCAAAAAATAAATAAATAAATGAACATTTGCGGTAAAATTTGTCTAACATCGTTCTACAATCATAAGCCGCATTATATTGTATTATAAATTAACAGGGATCTTTATTTAAGGTACACGAGATAACCAAGTGTGAACCAAATTACCTCAGTCTCCTTAAAGAAAAAAAAACAGACGACATCGAAGACTTTTCACCATATTAAGTTTTGTCTATGAATATATATATAATTATTGGTCAAAATAGTTCTAAATTATTTCTCTTGTTTCATCTAAAAGAAAAGAGAAATTATATATTAATCGAAGAAAAAAGTAGTAGAACTAATTCCATATTTGGCTATACTGGGATAGAAAGATATGATTGATATGATTCGGACAGACCTTTTAAGTAAACAAACGTCTTCCAGCGATTATAATAATCAATTGAATTTCATTTTTGAAAAAGCATTAAATCATTTTCATGTTTTGCTCACATATTATCGATCTATTTGGGTAATTATTAAATAGTATGAGGAAAGAGAAACAATTATATTTCCAGTATAAAAAGAAAACACTGTTGATGGTATTAATTTAGGATAATACTGACACAAATATTTTGGTATAAAACAGATTTTACTTAAGCAAATATATCAAATGCCTAGGAACCAAATTTAACATGAGCGTATTCAACCACACACACACAATTACCTATTTTATTTGTACCCTACGTTTTAGTGAGCCACTATCAAATTTATCAAGGACTATAGTACTTTCAGAAAAGTAAAAAAAAAATGATATACAAAGATTTGAAAATAATTCTTAATATAATTATTCCACATGATGTATTCAATCCAAAGCAGCGATATATTCTAACTCTTTGACGTTCCAGACCAGTTCGAGTTCTTCAGTGACATCTTCGCCACGAATGTGATCGCCAAGGATCCCTACTCCGGCCGCCAGGTGCATCTGATCGACGCCAAAGGGTGAGCAGCTAACGTTTGTGGGCCCTTATATCGTATATCGTGCATGTTCTCGTTGATCGACGCCAAAGGGTGAGCAACTAACGTCTGTGGACGCTTATATCGTATATCGTGCATGTTCTCGTTGACATGCTCGAGAATACTTCTTGAGCATCAAATTCCTCAACCTTATTTTGTTTATTACTCGAGATGATGAGATGATGATATATTTTAAACATATTTAGGAGAATTTGAGTTTAAACATTAGATTTACCTAGATTCATCGTTTTTTATACTTGTAGTTTTAATAAGTATAGCTTTTCTATTCACGATGAAATTGTGAAAGACTTATAATTACAAAATATATCCTCACAATGAGTTTCTTTTTATTCTAAATTTCTAGCTTTCAAGCGATAATCGCTCTTCAACGGGCTTAAAAATATATATCAATTATATCTGACAAGAAATATTTACAATAGTTGATATATTTTTAAGCCCGTTGAAGAGCGATTATCGCTTGAAAGCTAGCAATTTAAAATAAAAAGAAACTCATTGTGAGGAAATATTTTGTAATTACAAAAGTACAGCTTTTACACATTTTGTAAAGAATTTTAAAATAGACAATTATAAAACAGCTATAAACCTCTTTAGCAAATTCTGAAGATTTCATGAAGCCCTTGTGGTTCTCATGAACCGATAAATTACCCTATAAAGATCCCAAAACTCTTTGCCAAAGATAGTGTTATGGCATTCACCCATGCGTTTGAGATTGCGGAGACGGTTAATAGATGGCGCATAGCTTTTGTGTCTATTTTGACAAAGAGGTGATAATTTCAAAATCCACCCATAATGTCATCCTGGATGAACGCCATTTATTAAAATAGCCTATAGTGCCATATAAATATTCCTTTTATTTTGGCCAATTTAGCCGCTGGGGAAGCTCACCACTGGTGTGTGTGAATCTAACCATTCCAATATTTTTATCTTATAGATATCAGTTGTGAAATTTCGTGTTGCATCATTAGTGATTTATTCTATCTTCAAAATGTTATATATAGATGTTTACCTTATCAATAAGCTTTAAAGACAGCACCTCTCACTGCATGCAGATGCCCCGTCGACCTGTACGTCTTCCCCGAGCTGCACCGCGCCCCGGACGGCGCCCTGGAGGCCGAGTTCTACGCCTTCAAGATCCCCGACTCCAACCTGCTGGTGTTCTCGGCGACAGTGCGCACGTGCCGTGGGCCCTGCGAGCCGGTAACGTCAACCGATATGTTAGATCGTATGTTCTACATGCAACAGGTCACATGATTGAATTTATCTTAACATCAGCTTTGAAAAGTTATAAAACCTAGCCAATATTAATGTTTTTTCTTCAAAATTAGGCGCTTAATCTTTATTTTTTTAATATGCGCTCTCTTAAATATACATTGAGTCAATTATCTTTATAAATTGTCTTTTAGGGCGAATATTAATTTTTAAGATGTCGGTTTACCCAATTTCACATTCTTACATAGAAGATATTACTTATAACACGAATAAAATTATAAAGGATAAGTTTCTTTATTGGTAATAACCGTTTCGAGCTTTCGGGCGCAAGCAGCCCTTCTACAGGAATAAAAGTTTTATTCCTGTAGAAGGGCTGCTTGCGCCCGAAAGCTCGAAACGGTTATTACCAATAAAGAAACTTATCCTTTATAATTTTATTCGTGTTATAATATATTGAAAGGATTACTCGTCTTAAAGATATTACTTACACTACAATTCGGTTTACACAATTCAATTCTTAGAAAGAAGCATTGGATGCACTATAGGTCGTTCGGTGTACGATTTTATTCTTTCAAATAAAGATATTGCTTTCACTACAGGTTAGTTTTAATTCCTAAAGACCAGAGTTTATAGATATTATATTAGTTATAGTATGATTATTGCAATTAATTTAAACGGATTTTAAAATATAATTCATGAAAATTAATTATCATTTGCTATCTATTATATTCGGTACACAATACATATAAAGTGTATCTAAAAAGATACAATAATAGGTTGCACTTGATTAAGGCAACATAGAGCAACACAAAAATAAATCACTTCGATGTTACTAATCACTGCATCATCGAGTTATACCATAATAGTTTACATTATATATTGTAATCTTGGTTTTAATGACATTACACTTATGGGGATATGTAATAATTTATACATAAGTTTTTCTGTAACGTTAATACACACAGGAGAGAATTCTCTATAACGTATGGCTATTGTATCACGAAGACACAACAGTATGCGCTATACACTTCCTAAGCTTCCTACATATACCTTTTGCATATACACAGATTCAATATATAACGAATATATATTTGTATGAACCTGAGTTTGTGACGCCGGCCCCCAGGCTATCTGTACCGGCCGTGACCGCCCGGGCTCCTTCCCGTCGTGGGGCCGCCGCAGGAGGCGGCGCCGAGCCGGTGACCCGGCCGAGGACGTTCACCAGCTGATGGAGGTGTTCCTCAACAGGGAGGACATGCCGGAGCAGGAGTCGCTGATAGGTTGGTGGCCATTGCCTTCATTCTACGCTCTAGTATTGTTCAGCTGTATAAGGCCTATTTCTCAAATAAATGTACTTTAACCAAGAATTCCTTGCAATTTCCGTATATCTACAGAAACTGCCATATACAATATTACAGTGATATGGTGGCTTTAAATGGCTATATCACTGGAAGGGTTAACATCTGATGAGCCAGGCCATCCCAATATGTTTCAATCGCAGTAAGGATGGTAGGAATTTGTTTATTTGAAAGAGATAAATCGCGTCGTTTTCTTTTATATAGAAAGCTTATGTGTTTACTAATCTGTCCAACAACATTCTATTATGATACATTAAATCCTTGTTTTTAATTATCTAACAAACGTATATATATATATATTTATATGCCTGTCTAAAAATCAGGGAAATTTTAAGATAATTTTCGTAATAGGCACATTTATAAAGTGCGTCGAAAAATTCTAATTAGCGCCGCTAATCTTATTTATGCAATAAAAACCACACTGCCAGGGACATGTGAGTAATGATAAATTCAAAGGTAACCTAATAACGGGGGGGGGGAAGTGTGGCTAAAAATTCAAATATATGGAAGGCTGGTTAAACCGTTTGGTTTTCGACCACTAGGACCCGGGTTCGATTCCCGCATTGGACACTTTTTTCTGTTTAAAAAAAAATGCTCCAATGGCCCCCGATTCTTGCAAAAGTCCAACCCCACCAGCGAGTGCAAGTAACCAAACGGGGCTCTGGCATTTGTAAGTGCAAAGTCGAACTGCTTTTCACATGTGTAGACATGTGGTGCGCTTACAGTAAAAAGCAGTCGCTAACTACCCACCATGATTATCATGGCCTGTACCACGTGTACTAGGGATAAGCAAAAAATATATATATATTTACTGGTAGGAAAATATATTAATATGCAATATTTATTTCTACATCATATACAAGTACCAACTAAGCTATATATTTCTCTTAAACCCATAAGCTGGTGGGAAGTATTCATGTTCTTTCAGAGCTTTCTTTCTATGGCTAGTATTTTGATGAAACGTAGGTTATTCTACCTCGAAATTGCCCATGAATTTCATTCTTGGCCTTCTTTCCCTGGTCTTGCTTCCACATATCCAACAGTATCTTCATCCTACAAAGATTTCTTACAATTTATTTCATTTTTTAATTTCAAAATGCTATCTTTCTCAAGTGATAATCGTTATAATTTTTAAACGCCTTTCGAAAAGTTGCCTTGAATCATGAATACCTTTATCCACTCCGAGAATCGGATAAGATATCCTATTCCTCTCAATCGTCTCCAGTAGGTCATTTTGGAGATTTGTTTAGTCTTCTCGGTGTAACTTTACCATTTCTGCCTTTCTAAGTCTCTTACATATGTACACACAGAAAACTAAATTATCCCTTTGATAAATAAATTTTTGGTTTCAAGCGACATGGGGTTTGGTTCTTTATTCTAAATATTGCTTCCGGATAAATTTCACATCGCCCAGTAATATTCTCCAATCTTAGAAACTCTATGTTTGTATCATCTTGACTTAAACTGGATGTAAACCTATCTGCACTTCAAACAATTATATATTAGCGCTATCTGCTGGTGTCTAGGAGAAGCTATCTCGACGGACGTGGGCACCGTGTGCGTGCCGCAGGCGAGCTACCAGGCGCTAGTGGCGTTGGTCGGGCTGCTGATGGCGGCGTTGCTGGCCGGGGGCCTGGGTGCGGCGGTTCTGTGGCAGCGACTGCGACGTCGCCAGGTACGCCGTCGTCCTGCACGCGAGGCATTCATTTAAAATAATTGTTCCATGTGTGATTGTGAGAAATTTGTCTTAATATCTATATTCTTGTATATGTATATTTATTCTATGCAGTTTTCATATTTCAAAAGTATGTACTCATTACAACTTATAAATAATAATTATTTTCGGAAATGTATATTACTTTTCACTTATAGGATCAAATATTAACTCTTCAGATCTTACTGCAATGATAGAGGTTATTGAAGGACTGGACTTCCATAAAAATGTGGTCGGAACTGGAATGATTTCTAAATTTTATTATGCATTAGCGCGCCATCTGTTATGGAAATTCGAAACTATTATAGACGCTTATGATTCTTTTTAAAAATAAACAATTTCTACTACCCTAGTACTACAGTATAAATTGTTTATTTATAAAAAGAATCATACACGTCTATAATAGTTTCGAATTTCTATATTTATTTTCAATTTTTGTGATCAGGTTTTAATATATTTCCAGACCACGCAAAAGTCTATTTTTTTTGTGTACACTGACTCAATCAGGCTAACAACGCAAGTGTACAACATATCAGACTGCTAGGTGACCGCGCGATGACCTGAAATAAACTATAGAATAGAAGTAGTATATATCAAAAGGAGTTAATTAGTGCAACCGTTTGTGGCGTAATAAACGGCTGGCCTTCCTTAAAATATATCGCTAGTGTATGAACTATAAATAATTGTGAGGTTATTGTCAGAAATATATAACCATTTTATTATATATAAATAGAATTTTAAAAATTAACCAAATTTCAAATATAAAAAATAGTGCATTTTTAAACATACTGTATATATAAATTCAGGACTGAAAAAAACTCAAATAAATAATTAAATAAATAAAGACTTTCTTAAAATGTACTAAAAAGGAAAAAATAAATATCCCAGCTTCTCCGCCATTTCGGACTTAATGTGTTTTAATATAAAGCAACTGATTAGCAAGATTTTATGTTTCACTAGATATTTTGCCTCTTCCCTCAATATACGTGATCGTTTCCCGTCGGTTTTTTAAATCTAATTGTTCAATTGCGGTGGCTGAAATAATGATTTTCTCCTTTTTTATGCAATAAAAAAAGTCATCAGCTAGAAGAAATAATTCCTATTTAGAGAAGCGTCTAACCCAGGAGTCGAAAAACTGCGGCTCGTGAGCCACATGCGGCTCTTTGGATGTGAAACTGCGGTTCTTTATATAGTTCCATACGCGAATATTATTCATGCGAGTACTATTTATTGTTGGCAAGAAAACATTTTGTAGTCTTTAAAAACTTTAAAATTTTGAAAATTGTAATTTTTGACTCTTACGACTCAAAAGATTACCTGGTCTAACTTATCGAGCGACCTTTGTCCCTACAATGTAAGAAGACTAATGCTATCCTTACGAGATGTGATGACGGTGCAGGCCAAGTCCGAGCGGCCCGTGGTGGGCAACCTGTACGTGTCGCCCTGCGCCGCCCGGGGCTCCGAGGACCCCAGCGAGCCCATCTACACCGACCCCTCGCTTTTCGAACAGCCGCACGCGCACAAGCTCTAGCTTACTCTCCTCCTGTTTCTATTTATTTATTTATTTTTCCTAATAACACTACATTTAATCTCAAAGAGGACAAGGTATTATTTCATCCACATTTCCTTGCTTAACTCTATATATTCAGATATTACTAAATTATACATTAAAATTGCCCTCATGATTGTTACCAAAGAAAATTTTAATTCAATATAAGCATATATATTAATTTATTAACCATTAAAATTATTTTGTAGAGATATTTATATTTTTATTTATTTTCTCATAGAAAAAATAACCCATCTTAATTGTATTTTAAAGGTCGCCAATAAACTAAATTATAGTTTTTATTTTATATAGATAACGCATCAATCATATATCAAATATTAGTCTTCAAATATTTGTTTTAATATGAAATGCATATAGTTAATTGCTACCAATAAGAAAATTTGGGGAAAAAAGGTTTAATATTCCACAATCACAACATATTTTTAAAGACGATCCAAAAATATTTCTTGATTGTAGAAATCAGAAATTTATTATATATTAAATTAGATCTTCATATATGGAAAATTCCATAACGAAGTGCCTTATAACTATTCCATTTTCTCTAGGCTGGAGCTTTTACCTTTTCCGAAAGAACAAAAACTGCCAAATCTTCTGTCTTGTGTATCGAACCCTTAGGAATCTTATGGAACGTAAAATATATTTATTTATGAAGCAGAAGCACTACCATAATCCTATAGAGTATGACCTGTCTAAACATGTATTCCAAAACATTATCGGCACTGTTAAACAAAACTCTGAACGATAACAGTCAAATATTTATCTCGCGAAAAAAAGTGAGAAACACTCCTAATTTTGTTTGCTTTTTTGATAACAATTGAATACCTTCTTTGATAAATATAAGATATGTAAATTGATTCTTTTTTTTTCTGAAAATAAAAAAGAGATATTTTAAATATATATATAAAGGTAATTTCTATGTGTGTCGATTTGGTAAAAATAATTTTAGTTTGAAGAAAATTTTGAGAATAGTTAAAGATTTTTGGATGTGTATACTAAATAGATTGTTGCTGTGTTGACCAAATTGTCATTTTCCTTAACTTTAAGCTTAGAGAGAGAGAGGATGCTAGATAAATATTTTAAAAATTAGAAATGATTATATCTAGCCACTTCACAGAAAGAAAAGTCCATTTAAAAATATAATCCTGACTATTTCTCGTAACCTAGTTGCCATTTTCTTGAAATAACTCTTGTGGAAACATCAGAACGATAAAGTTCGATTGCAATTATTAAACCCAAGTTTTAAAAAATAAATTCTTTGTTAAAATTAAATTTACAATTTATCATTGTAGTAAGGTCTGTAGAGAAATTGTTTGATAATAAATATCATAAGAAATATATTACCAAATAAAATAGTTATGAAAATTTTACTGAAATTTAAATAACCAACTGGAGTTTTTAAATTGACCCATAGAAGGCACTCTAGACAATTTTATGGTGGGCTGGAAATAATTTTATTATTTAGAATTTCAAGTTCTCTACTAACATATTTTAGGTGTTGATTGGTAAAATATCATAAATATTCTTAAGATATCAAATACGGAGAAGGAACTTGATGTTTGAAATCATATTCAAGATTTCAAAAATCAATATAAAAAATTCTATATATTCAAACACATTATAAAAAATATCATTCAATGAACGGATTCTGAAACCTTTTATAAATCTTATTTATTTTTCCCAGCTCTCTTTATCTTAGAAATCTTATAGTAATACTAATAATTTATGTTGCTCTTAATAATATGATATCATATGCCTGGAATAAACAGGAAATTATTTTATATTTATGCCTTATTTTCTTATATATATTATGCAATATTATATATATATAATTATTTATTTATTTTCAGAATTTTTTTTTATAGAGAAAAATCAATTATTATAATTCTTTATGAACAAAACATATATATTGAGGTCATATATATATATGAAGTAAACATACATATATATAAGAAAAGGCCCCTCAAAAATAAAAATAAAAATACTTATTTTATAAAAGCAATAACGCACTATCTATATATAACAAATGAAGACATTAACACACAATTTTTCTTTTCACAAAATATATTTAAATGTTACGATACACTAGCGCGCCATCTGCTATCAAATTACAAAACTATTTTAGAGGCGTAATATTCTTTTTAAAATAAAACAATTCCTTTAATTTTTCCATTGCAGTAAGGACAATAGAAATTGTTTTATTTTAAAAAGAATATTACGCCTCTAAAATAGTTTTGTAATATTTAAATGTATTTCTACTGTCTTAAAAGCTTATGTCGATAGTTTGCTTAAATA